AATCAGCAGCACATATCAATAATCAAGCAGCATGGATAATCAGCAGCACATATCAATAATCAGCAGCATGGACAATCAGCAGTATGGATAATCAGCAGCACATATCAATAATCAAGCAGCATTACAGTGATTTTTCTGGTTATAGATTCATGAGTCTAACAGCCTCAGGGTAGAAGCTGTTCCTCAGTCTAGTGGTTCTACACTTAATGCTCCTCAACCTCCTTCCTGAGGGGAGTGGGGCAAAAAGTGTGTGTGCTGGGTGAGTGGGGTCCTTCATGATGCAGGTGGCCCTCTTCCTGCATCTGGAGGTGTAGATGTCTGTGATGGTGGGGAGACTGACTCCAACATCTTCTGTGCAGCCTTCACGCCACATGTTGATGCTGGAGAACCATTAATGACCATCATAAATAGATTTTTTTTAAGTTCCAGTTGGTGTCTGAGACTAGAGGAAATACTAATGTCAGAAATCAAATAAAACCATTGGCATCAGAAGCTTTTGTAATGGGGGACAGGGGGAGGCCATTGATGGGAGGGGGGCCTGCAGGTCCTCCCCCAGAACATTGTGAATGAAGTAGATGCCATTTCCTGCATTTTTACATATTTTAATGTGTTGGTAAACATGTACGTTTACCTTCATAAGCTAAAGTTCTCCAACCTAAACTGTGACTGAGGGCAAACATTAAGCAGCAGAACTTCCTGCGACCCGTTTGGATCCTGAATGATGTTCTGCTGTGAAGCCTGAGCTGCACATCCACACATCCTCAACTGAACACAGTTGATGTTGACGTTACTAAACATCAGAGCGCACGGTTTGCTGATCCAGATGCACATTTTGATCTGGGAAGAACAACAACCAGTTAGTGAGACGTGTGTTCAGAACGACCGCTTTGGAAACATTTGTGTTTGAGATCATGTTTCTGAAAACACAACTATTAGAACAGAGTTCAGACTTATATTTGTGGAAACGTCTGTGAAGAAGCTGCCTTCAGCTCTTTTAATTCCTCGGCTCCGTCTGTCTGCATGCTGCTTCAGGGTTTATGAGTACGCAGAGGTCAGAGGTCAAGTCTATGTTCACTTCTAAAATACCAAGTCACCGCTTTGCCTCAGAGGCTTCAACAGGACTAAAAACACACCGTGCAGTAAAAAATGAGGCTTTTTAAAATCCCCTCTGCGATTATTTCCCTCCATTTGGACGTGGAAAGATGAAGCTCTGTACCACCATTTACAAGTTGTGCACGCAGCTGCCATGTGATTTCAGTGCGCAAACAAAATTTCCCCCACGAACGATAACGGCAAAATTAATGAAGGAATCACACGGGGGGGTAATGTGTTGCGAGCTTCAGCTGCTCCCTGGGAAGTCGCTGCATTTGTTTCTATGGCGATTTAGCGTCTTGCTGGAAAACGATTCACCACGGAGTCACAAGTGAAACACTTGAATTCAGATGCTCATGACACGGGGAGAGTTTCTGCTGCTGGGAGTGTTGTAATGGGACTCGGGGAGCTGAAAGAGAGGAAGAGGAGAGGAAGAGCACCTGATGGCCTTAAATTCTACTCCGGTTTCCTCCCACAGATCAAAAACATACGTTAGGCTGGTTTGTCTACAGTTTGTGTCCCTGTGATGGACTGGAGACATGTCCAGGGTGTCCCCCGCCTCTTGTACACTGATAGTTGGATATAGGTGCCAGTGACCCCCCGCGACCCAGAAAGGAAGAAGCGGGTAATGGATGGATATTAAAACAAACTGGGTGACAATGATCTGCTGCTGGGGAAAGATCACAACCTCCGATAGGGTTCAGGAGAAAACCTGATCCAGCAGAGTCCTCTGGTGGACCTGCAGCACATTACACTTCTGTTCAAGATCCTCTTCTCACGTCAGACTGAGCTGTTCTGGGTCTCTCTTACATGTTTCAGGTCATTAAACAGATGTTAATATCAGACAAAGATAATCTGAGTAAACACAAAATGTTTTAAATGGTGGTTTCATTTAAAACTTTAAACCAACGTGAGCCTGTGGTAAAAGTATTTACCACTAAACCTCAAAACCACGACTGCAGTCGGTGTTGAGCGTTCAACTCCATCCAGTTTATTCAGAAAACTCCAAGTCACAACAGAAGTCGTCTCAGGGACTGAACAGAAACATTCATCAATAAAATAATAATTTAACAGAAACATTCATCTATAAAATAATAATTTAACAGAAACATTCATCTATAAAATAATTGATCAGAAACATTCATCTATAAAATAATTGATCAGAAACATTCATCTATAAAATAATAACTGAACATTATTTATCTGAGGAGCAGCTCTGAGTTTAACTCTCATGTTGAACAAGCATGAAGGCGACAGTGGAAAGAAAAACTCCCTCATGAGGAAGAAACCTTTAGCAGAACCAGGATCAGGATGCCAGAACACAAATAGCAGGCGGTCCCGGGGGGGGGGTCCTCCCCCAGAAAATTTGTAATAAAAGAGATGCCATTTCCTGCATTTTGTTGTATTTTAGCCAGTTGTTAAACATCTGTAAACATTTAATTAAAGTGATTAGAAACAGGTCTCTCTTGTAAATGATGAGGCTCAATGAGACTAACAACCAGTATAAATAAAGATTGAATTGAAATTACTATTTCAGAGCAGAGAGCTCTGATTACGTCAAGCGAACAAACTCTTCTCAGCTGATCTGCTCCAGTCTCCATCACCTTCAGGCGCTTCAATAAAAAATAAACGCACCTGTAGTCGCTCACGTTTAACACGATGGTCTGATTTATTATCCCATTGTTTCTCATTGTGTCTGTGTTTTAATGTTTTTACTTTTGATGCTTTTAATTATACGTTGTTGATGTTTTACTTGATGCTGTGCTTTTATTGTGAAGCACTTTGGTAACAGTTTCTGTTTGAAACGTGCTCTATAAATAAATCTGACTGGACTTCTGCTGAGGTCACACTGAGGAACTCCTCTTCAGACGGTGAAATCATTTTGTCGCTGCGGTACCAATCCTGGAACTAGTTACAGTTTTACTAAGATTATCTCAGACAAAGATAAAAACATGTGAGGACATGCATTTATTCAAGCTAATAATCTGAAGCAGACTTCGGATTTGACCAGTTGTCCTCCAGAAGGGACGTCTTCGAGGCTCGACCTCCTGCTGGAAGTGACATCATCACGTTGTCGTGACAACAAAGACACAGTTACGCATCTTTAGAGCAAACAAAAGCATTTGGTCGTGTGCAGTGGCCAGCGGCGGCGTAATCTTGTCCTGTAAAGCAAAACAAGATTCAAAATAACAGAAATTGGAATTAGGAGAGTTCCCCTGAGTTTTCTTTCTTCTGAAATGAATAAAAACAAAACACAAACGGAGAACAATGTAGGAACACCATGTTGTCTTCAACAGAGACAAACAGGTGTCGTAAAGAATGACCAGAGAAAATCATGTAATATATTGTTTCAGACAAAGTGACCCACAAGTAAAAGCTAATTCTGTTGTTCACACTGGAAACATGTTTAAAGATGTTAAAGATGGTTTTCATCTTGGGTACCATCCTTGTTGATTTCCATGCAGCTCTTGTCTCCTTCCGGGTTGTTTGGTTCCCCTTGGCCCCAATGGGTGTAGGTGAAGTTGGAGTAATCGATCCACTCCCACGCACCTTCCTGTGAGAGCAAGTTTTCACAAGTTACTTCTTTCTTTTCGTGCTGATTGAGAAATTACAGAAAACTCTTTCCATTAGTCAGATTGCTGCACAGAATCTTCACCTCATTTGCCCTGGTGGCTCCAACCCAAGATCTTGTGTTGGTTCCCGTAGCATTCACAATGAGACGCCGGATGAAGTTGTACTCATCTTCATCATGGAAGGAGGTCAAATATCCACCATGGTCCATGCAATAAATCTGTGAGGAAACATGGCAGCATAAACAATCATCTCATCTTCATCATCGTGATGAACTAGTTGTAGAGGAGACAACTAACATGGCAGCAATATCTTTGAGATGAACCAGTCTTTAATGTATTTTGGGGTTTAAAAGCCACTGGGACGTTATGTTTAGAAAATAGACGTCTCAGTTTCTCTGATACTCCCTCAACATCTGGAATGACCACTGGTCTGGGTCTGGGTTCCTCCTTTTCACCTGATGGCTGACTGGAGTCCTGTTTGGGTTTCTTCTTTCAGGAAGGCCCAGTTAGGATATCCACATTGCTCTAGAGCCTGTCTTGTGTGGGATTTCTCCTTCTGCCTGGCTCCTGAGTTAGTGGGGACGCTGTCTGCTCTGTGGTACAGAGTCCTGATGACTCCTAACTTGTGCTCCAAAGGGTGATGGGAGTCAAACTGCAGATACTGGTCTGTGTGGGTGGGTTTGTGGTACACCTCAGTTTGCAAATGTCCTCTATCAGAGACAGACCTCACAGTCCAAGAAAGCCAACCTGCCATTATTTACCTTTCCCTAATATTTGATGTTCTATTCCTTGCTTTATGAATTTTATACATAAATTTGACTTGACTTCTTCTGAGGTCACACTGAGGAACTCTTCTTCAGATGGTGAAGTCATTTTGTTGCAGTGGTACCAACTCTGGAACAGTTTTACTAAGATTATCCCAGACAGACAAATAAAGACAAAAACATTCAAAGTCATGCATTTATTCAAGCTAATTATCTGAATAAGACATCAGATTTGACCAGTTGTCCTCCAGAAGGAACGTCTTTCAGGTTTGACCTCCTGCTGGAAGTGACATCATCATGTTGTCGGGACAATAAAAACACAGTTACACTTTTTTAGCGCAAACAAAAGGATTTTTTTGTGTGCACTCTTCATTGGTGACAAAATCTTGTCCTGTAAAGCAAAAAAAGATAAAAAAAAAACAGAAATTGGAATTAGAAGTTTTTTCCTTCTGAAATGAATAATTAAAAACAAAACACAAACTGACAAAAGTGTATGAAAACAATGCCAAACAGGTGTCATAACGAACGACCCACAAATTAATTCTAATACTCTCGTTCACATTGGAAACGTGTGTTTAAAGATCAGAAATCATCGTGCGTACCATTCATGTTGATTTCCATGCAGTTCTTGTCTACACTGGGGTTGTTTGGTTCCCCTTGGCCCCAATGAGTGTAGGTGAAGTTGGAGTAATCGATCCATGCCCACACATGGTCCTGTGAGAGGAAGGTTTCAGAAGTTAGGTCTTTTTAATGCTGATTGTGAAAAGCTTTACAGAAAACTCTTTCCATCGTTCCACTAGTTAGATTGCTACACAAAATCCTCACCTCATTTGCCATGGTGGCTCCAACCCAAGCTTTTGTGTTGGTTCCAGTAGCGCTCACAATGAGTCTCCTGATGAAGTCGTACTCATCTCTGTCATGGAAGGAGGCCAGATGTCCATCATGGGCAATGCAGTATTCCTGTGTGGAAAGATGGCAGCATAAACAATCTTCATATTTCTGATGAGCTAGTTGTACAGGAGACTACTAACATGGCAGTAATAACCTCTCTGTGAAGTCTCTGATTAAACTGACCACCAGGTTTTAAAACTATCAGGTTGGCAACTGATTCAAGCTAAAAATGTCACGCACGTCCATGACAGATGAACAGATTACTGCCTTAGATCATCCACAGGTGTTTAAGACGGCGCTACGTAAAATGCAGCCGGCTCCAAAGAAGCGCTCTGTGTTGCACCATAATATCATAATCACCAACAAGATATTAAGTAATTGAAGGTTTAATTTGTGACCAAGGAACATCTATTAAACAATCAATGGGTTCTGTAGTTTTGCTTCTCATTTGAGGAACTTTCTCAGTTTAAAACTGTAATGATGCAGTTTTGATGTTATAAACTTTGACTCTAGACCAGTGCTTCTCAATTATTTTCTGTTACGCCCCCCCTAGGAAGAAGTAAACATTTCGCACCCCCCCAACTCTCCGCGCGACTGCAAATAGTATAATTTGTCTATAAAATTGTTATAAGTACACCTCTACATAGCATTGTATCCTTATTAACATTAAATTTTAAAAATATAGAAATATAGATCACACTGATGGGGGGGTAAATTTTTTATAAAGTAGATGCCATTTCCTGCATTCTGTTGTATTTTAACGGTTGTTTAACATCTAGTTTTACCAACATAAGTAAATACTTGGAACTCCTTGGGATTCTCCTGGAGGAGCTGGTCCAAGTGTCTGTGGAAAGGGAAGTCTGGACCTCCCCACTTAGGCTGTACCCCCCCACGGATGGATGGAAGTAAACACTTGATTCAGTAACTATTTTAGAGCTAATGGCACAACAAGAAGTAACCTGACCAACAGCCGATTCAATGAATTAAAAATATTATATATTCAAAGGTGACGATTTGATGCCCACATTAAAATTAAACATCTGTAACTTAGTTGACTTCAAATGAAATAAGATTATCAATGAATGTTTGAGATAAAGGATTTACTGATTATAACAAAGATTCCTTCAAGAAACCTCCTAATATAAATCATAAAACCAGAATGACTTCTGCTCATTCTAAATTTGTCAAATGGCCTAAATCTCCTAAAGTGAAGGAGAATCATTTTAAAATAATAAATAAGATATATCCTGTAGCCATGTTTCTGCAAAGAAGATTTAAATTTGAGGTTGATTTATGTGTCTGTTGTAAATCAGAAGATGAATCCCTCGAGCATTGTTTTTCATGTCAATACAAAGTGTTTGGTCAAACATCAGAAACTGGATTAATCTCAAACTTAACTTTCCTTCTTTTCATGCTGATGACATTTTATTTTATGTGGATAACTGAAGCTCAGCTTCCTCTGATGTCATTAATATAGTCGTACTTATAGCAAAGCACCATGTCACATGCCGAAGTGTCCCTGGGCAAGACACTGAACCCCTCATCGCCTCCGATGTGTGTCCCATCAGTGTATGAATGTGATCTAAAGCTCTGATTAGTCTCTTTAGAATGATTTGTTCAATTGGCTTTGTAGTGATCTAGTATAGAGCTGTATAATTGAGGCACAGATTGTTGTAAAGAGCTTTGAGTATCTTGAAATAAGATAGAAAGGTGCTGTATAAGTACAGTCCATTTACCATTTACCATATTCACTGTAGTAAGGGAGTGATAATAATCCCTCCTTCCTGTTTTATGAACAATTTTAAGTCAAACAATTCTTCACTAAGTAGATTAAAAATCTGCAAAACTGCTAGAATCATCTCGCAACAGATACAAACTTATTGTTTTAATTAAAACAATGTTTCTCAAGAAAAAACAACTGATGAGCTTGTCAGCAGGTAAGGGGCGTTTACCTTCAGGACAAATTGAGGTCGTCGATTGGTCAGTTACTGACACGCCTTCTGAGTTGATTGACAGGTCGCACCGTCGAGGATCCGATTGAAAAAAAAAACGGAGAGCTGCAGCAGCTGGGAGGAGGCGGGGCTGAACAAATGCAGAGCAGGGCTCCAAGTAAAGCAGGAGGTAACCAGATATTCTGCTTGTGCCCTCACTGCCCTGGGCCCCTTAGAGATCATGGGCCCCTTAGAGATCATGGGCCCCTTAGAGATCATGGGCCCCTTAGAGATCATGGGCCCCTGGGCAGTTGCCCATATGGTTAATCCGGCCTTGGCTGGACCTGGACTTCAGAGCAGCAGAGAAGTTGCAAACAGCGCAAGAGCGAGCAGGCTGTGTGTGTGTGTGTGTGTGTGTGTGTGTGTGTGCGTGTGTGTGTGTGTGTGTGGTTGTGTTGGTGGGTCCAGTGGAACGTGCTCACAAGAGAAGAACCTGACAAGTTGTTTAATGACATAAAATATATTTTGTTAGCAAAGAATAAGAGTCCTAACATTTATTAAACATTACTTCTGTATTAAAAAACATTAAATTTGTGCTTTGACAAAACAAAAAACAAACAAAAAAAGTTAAAGTGAAAGTGGGGCAGGTAACTAACGCGTGCTGCGGGTGACGAGCGTCAGCAGCTGCTCAGCAGCAGAGGGAGCGACGGTTCAATCACGGCTCCTCAAACAACAAGGAAGACATATTTGTTCATAACTTCATTATTATTAAAACTGAGAGTTGCCAGATTTTAGCAAACAGTTGTCGAACGCACCCTGACAAAATGAGAATGGTGCAAAAAAAAGAGAAATAAAAACTTCCTGCCGCAAAATGTTCCTCAGGGTCACACGCGCCCCCCGACATTGCTCGGGCCCCCCCCAGGGGGGCGCGCCCCACTACTTGAGAAGGACTGCCCTAGACCAACATGCCACACAAATACAAAGAACAGTTGAAGAATTATACCTCAGCATAAATCCAGATCATTTCAGTACTGTTGAACAAGAAACAACGGTCTCTATATGAAGTCCATGAAGGAGGGCATTCAGCTACACAAACAGAAGAAAAGGGATTTTAATAAATATAGTTGAAATTTAGTCAATGACAATGTTTT